GGTGGTCTCTCCTCACCCAGGGGACAGAAGAGTAAGGACCATTAATAGGCGCCTAGCAACAATTAGTCCGGGGGATTCATGGACCCCACTAACATCAGGCTCACAAGCCTGAGGCCAGAGGAGTGCGACAGTGCCCCATCACCACTACCAGCTTTTCCGAAAAGGATCGGATGAGAAGGCCCTGGATAGAGCGGGATAAAAACGTGGAGCAGGAATCAAAAGGAGCAAAAGAGACTAGGTGTGAGTCACCATTCGGGTCTAGAACGGAACTCAATCCTGTGCTAGAAGAATCAATCACTTAAGATCAAAAGGGCAGTAGTTATCTATGGACAAAGTTCAGAGAGTGGTGAAACAAGGAGATTTGAAAACCGAACCCAGGGAGGACGCGGGTGGAGGGATGGTCTGCTGAGAGGACTGCAAGGGACAAGTTCAAACAAAATGTGGAGGGACTGGTGGAGGAACACCGGATGGTCTGCTCTGTAGGCCTTTACCTAATTCACAAAGAAAAGTTAAAAAATAATAATCCTAACGGGGGGGAGAGGGGAAAGAGGCGCTAACACCAAGAGTTGAATAGAAAATAAATGTCTAGAAAAGAATGATGGCAACGTATGTACAAATGTGCTTGATACAATTGATGTATGGATTGTTGTAAGAGCTGTGAGAGCCCTCAACAAAATGTTTAAAAATAACTAAATAAATAACCCTCAGAACTGTAATAGTCTGAAGGCTGGTCAATGTTGCCATGCTGTGGAGTATAAAATGAGCCATCCAAGAAGCAGGGAGGGGATCTTACTAGTGTCAAAGGTAGAAGGGTAAGGAGTGGAAGGCATCCTTTGGACCCAGGATCTGTGAGTGCTGAACCTCCTGCATCCAGGAGACAGCGCGCTATGGCACCAGAGGAGGAGGAGCAGCCTAAGCAGCAAGAGACAGCATTTGGGCATCCCCGGCACAGAACGAGGAGACTTAGCGTCCAGGCAGAAGGTTCAATTAGGCGCTGGGTGCCTCCAAGCACTTAATTGAGGAAATGGGTTTACACACCCACAGAGCTAGAGCCGTGCACCTTCTGGTCAAGGCTGATGGCAGTGAGGAGTGCCCTTTCCAAATGCGTTTGTAGCACACTCCGGGGCTTTGTCATACTGCCCAGAGGCGAAGGGACCACGTGGTTTAAGAGGTGTGCCTGTAGGCAAGGCTGAGAAGATGCTCTCTTGATCAGAGCTGTATCCTGAGTATTTCTGATCCTATTCACGCTAATAAAGCCCGTGATTGTGAGCATGCTCTCTGAGTTCTGTGTGACCAATGAAATAAGTTAGTGAACCCAACAGAGAAGCAGAGTGCCACGGGAGGGCAGTTGTTTGCCAGACTTGAGAAGGAAGGTAGCAGGTTGGAGTACTGTCTGACGGCACCTCCTAAGAAGTGGCCTTGGGCTGATGGGGAAGAGGATTCTCCTTCCCCTTCTGTGAGGAGTGCTGCTGGCACAGTGCATTAGGCATAGGGCTGCTCACCCCAAGGCCAGCAGTTTGAAACCACCAGCCACTGCACAGGAGAAAGATGAGGCTGTCTGCTCGTGACAACATGTACGGTCTCGGAAACCACGGGGTCTGTTCTACTTTGTGCCCTAGTGTTTGCTGCTAGGAGAGAATCACTCGAGGGCAGCGAGGGTGAGCTTTCCCCTGTGTGAAGTCAGAGATCAGACCGGCCCCCAGGCCATTTTTACAGAGAGCAATAATAACACACCCAGCAAAGGACTGGGTGAATATTGGGAACTATTTGTTGCACAGATTAAAACGGACATGAAAACAGAAATCTGACTCTGCCACTCAGTCAGTGCCAATTCATCGTGACGTTATAACTGCTTATGGGAGTAGAAAGTCCTGCATTTCTCCCACAGAGCGCCTGGTGGTTTCAAACTGCTGACCTTGTGGTTAGCAGTCCAATGAGTAATCACTACACTACGGGGGTTCCCAAACTGTCATATAGGTCTACTACAAGATTGAGCCAATTGAAATTGCCATTAAAAAATTTTTTTTTAGGTCAAAAGTACTTGAGTCTTGGCTTTTTCACATGGTCCAGCCTGACATGAAATAATTAAAAAGGAAAACGCTATCCCTAAAACTCCCTCAATCGAGAGCCCAAGCTAGTATCCTGGGTGCTTGTTTACTTTTGGAAAAGATCAGGAAGAGAAAAGACCAACCTTTCAAATGATCATTTAAATCCAAGATCCTCAGATAAAAGCAACAGAGACTATTTCATATAGACTCGCACAGCTCTGTTTAGCAAACTTGCATTGTCTGGATAGAACCCCCTGTCTAGTTCTCTGGCACTCCTCCCTTCAAAACCCTCCAGGGGAAAGCTCCCCAGTAGCAGCCATGAGCCCCAGAGGAAAGACTTAAACTTGCGTTTCAGGGTTCAGTCTCTGCATTAGGATTGCGAGATTATCTCAGACCAATGCCTGTAAGAATGTTACAAAAGGCAGATTCTCCTAAGAGTGGAGACAGGACTGTCTATTCTCTTCCCTCGGCGTCTAATCACTCAGAGGCAGCACTTGCACAGTGTAATCAGGGCAGCTATTATAACTAGTGTAACAAAGCTAAGTGCATCAAAGCCATGCTGTTCCAAGCATTTCAGAGGCATGTCTTAATCATTTGTACCTCCTAATTAAGCTTGCTAAAGAATTGGGTAAAACTACATGTATGAAGCAAAAGGGCAAAGGAACGTCTCTTATCCTTCCTGAAAGGAAACACCAGGTAAGGTCTACAAGCAATTCTTCCCCCATCCGGGCATTTGCCCTTGCCCTTGAGCCATAAAGCAAAAAGTACCCTCCATTCAGAATATTTCTTTAGACCAAGGAAAACTAATCTGGCGGTGTCTTAGTTATCTAGTGCTGCCACACAGAAATAGAAAATAGATGGCGATAACAAATAGAAGTGTGTTTTCTCACCGCTTCGGGGATGAGAGTCGAATTCAAGGTGCCTGCTTTGGGGACAGGGTTTCTCTCCCTGGGTTTGGGAGGGAGGCCTGTTTTTCTTTAACTATATTTCTTGGTTGCTTGGAGATCACCAAGTGGCTTGGCACCTATCTTACTTACCTCATCGCTCCTCTGCTTGGTTGTTTCAGATCGTTCCTATCTCAAGAAGAGGTGGACTCCACATATATCCACACACCAATCCTGTCACATTAACACACTGAAGACCATCCACTCCCAAGTGGTTTAATAACCACAGGTATTAAGAAAGAGTTTGAGGGGACATAATTCAATCCGTAACAAGAAGTGACTCCCCTGATTAGGAAGAATATCTTCCATTCAAATGCATCTTCATAACGTAAATAACAAGGATGGTTTTCTAATCAAGCCTACTGTCTTTTAGTTGAGTATTTCAAAAGATATCCGGAAGGTCAGGGTTTACTGTGTCTGCAGTGAACCCGGAGAGGCCCAGTGTCTTTCCTTGAGTACCATTAAGTTGCCCTGTAGAGTTCTTTTAAAATCTTACCAGGACTCTGCTACGAAAACCAATCTTTATTGTAAACATCTGCTGCTCACTGGTTTCTACCTCCTGATAGGATCCAGACGGAGAGAATCACAATGCGACTGTACTCACGATCATACCCCTGAATAGTTTTTACTACTTGTGCAGGCTATGATGCAAATTCATCCCTCTAAAGCATACAGTCACACCTGGCTCCTTAGACTTGTGGATTTTATCCTGTTTACAAATAAACGTTTTTTTGGTTATGTTAATGATGCCATACCACTGCTGAGTGGACCTTAAGCCTAATCACTTTGGAGCTATGGGAAGAACAGAATGCACACAGTGACCCACTCTACAGACTGAGGTCATATGAAAATTGCCTACAAGCTAAGGAACCAAGGAACACGTGGGCCTATCAACAAAAATGGAAATCACAGCTGAACTCTGGTCTGAACTTCTGGCTTCCAGAACTGAAAGAGCGAACAAAAATATAAGTTTCTTACACGAAGACAGTATATTTATGATTGTTTGCACTTTTCTTGCTAGTTGTACTATATTTTGATTAAGGAATGTGGTCTACGTAACTCCTACTTGTTATAATGCATTGATATCCTTGTAACTTATTGCATGGTCAATTTTTTAGGGTTGTCTCCTGGAAATTTGAAAAGAAGGTGCAATTTCTCTTTCCGTAGTATAGAGATGGATACAGGTCTTTATTAAACTATTGAGGTCCTCTATACAAGGGTGTCAAGGTACTTTTCCTGTAAAAGTCCCCAAAGCAAGTCTTTTAGGCTTTGGAGCTGTAAGACTTCTCTTGCAACAGCTCAGGCCTAGCTTTGGGATGTGAAACTAGCCATAAACAACATGGATACGAATTGTCTGTGTGCTGGTATTCTGCTAAAACTTGATTCATAGAAGTCAGCCTGGCCTAGATTTGAACCACAGACCACAGTTTGCCAACCCCTGTTTGACACCAGTGTGTGCACCCACTTGCTCAGATGACTTGGCCTCTGCTCCAAGTTTGCTTTCTCTCTTCTCTGTATATGTGGTGACCTCGGGTACCCACCTGTTTTTCTTTATTTCCCTTCCACCTTTGTGGAGGTTGCCGGGGCTACAGCCTACCCCTGTGCATTCTGGGGAGTCCCGCGTGCCAAGTACATCAAGGACAATTCTAAGATAGTTTCTTCAAGGGACCTGCTTCTCCCACTGATTTTTCAACTTCCTTCTTGGAATTCATGTGTTGGATTTTTCACCTCGGATTCATTAAGAAGGTAATTGGATATGAGATTCTGCCTTCCATAAAGCTATATTTAGAGACATGACAAAGCGCCTGGTTTTAAAGTAACGCAGCAGTTTAGTTATTGCTAGACCAGATTCATCTGAAATTTCCTTTGGTGCTAACTGTGACGGGAATTTAAATCTATCATAAGAACTTGAAATTCGCGAAAGTGCGAGAGTTCGGACGCGTCAAACACAACAGTGACAGTCTCAGCGATGGTCACAGAGGCACACAACCAGGCCAGGTGGTCTTACCAGTGGGATGAGCAGGCTGACGAGTTTCGTCAGAGGTTTGCCGAGCAGCAGCAGGTCTTCCGCAGCCTGCGTGTCTCTTCCAGAGCCGGACTTCTGTGCCTGAATTGGGGGGAGAGGGGAGAGAAGAGAAAGGACTCTTGTTGGTGGCCTGTGGAAGGCAGGCCCGCTGATGTGAGCCGATGAAGGAAGCGGAGGAGGCATTCCTCCCGAGTGTCCCTGATGCAGGACGGAAGTAAGTTCAAGGAGAGGCGATGTGCTGTGATAAGAACAGTGCACATAGTGTCGCTGCTACCAAAAACCCCAAACTCACCACCATCTCTTTTCAGACTCACAGCAACCCTATAGGACAGGGTAGCACCCTCCCTGTGGGTCCACCAATGTAACTCTTCTACGGAAGTAGAGAGCCTCATCTTTCTCCAACGGAGCAGCTGGGGGTTTGCAAATGCTGAGTTTATGCTAAGAAGCCCAACGTGTAACCACTGTCACGAACGTCCACAAATAATGGGCGACAGAGCCAGGGGCTGAACCCAGACTAGCCACCTCCAAATCACCCATCTGATCTCCTCCAGGCACCGTACGCCCATCATGATGCATGTCAAATGCACTCCTTATGCTTGTCTTCTCTACAGGCACGGTGGTGTGAGCTGTCATCTGCATCAGCCCCAATTCATGGCAGCCCTGCACACAACAGAAGAAAATGCTGTCGGAGCCTGCCCATCTCCATCCAGCCTGCAGGTCCGGATGCATCTGCTGCACGATCCATAGACTTTTCCTGGGCTGATCTTCAAGGGTGGATGATCAAGCCTTCCTTCCTACTTCGTCTGCGTCTGGGAACTGCTGAAACTAGTTCAGCATCAGATACAACACACAGACCTTCCCACAGGCAGACGGTGGTGGCTGTGGGACTCAAACCCAGATCTTTACCTACCCACTGCCATCAGAGTCCACCCCAGCTCGGATCAACCTGGGAGGGCAGAGGAGACCTGCCTGGGTGGCTTCCTGGGACTGACAATCTGCACAGGTGGGGACTAGAATCAGTGGGGAAGAACCACTGACCTTTCGGAGAGCGGCCCACATGGAATGCAAAGAATTCTACCACTGAAAGGCCAGCGCCCCTCCTATTCACACACAGAAGCCCAAAGAACATTCAGGACGTTCGTCCATCGTATCAGGGCATGGACAGTCTCTAGGTCCACATCCCTTAAAAGCTGTGTGCCCAAACAGGGTGGGTAAAGGGAGAATGGGTAGGGAAGAGGGAACCGATTACATGGAACTGTGTGTGACCTCCTCCCTGGGGGACAGACAACCGAAAAGTGGATGAAGGGAGAAGTCAGACAGGGCAAG